GAAACATGTGGCTCAAATTTTGCAAATCTAAAAAAATGTAAAAAGCTTTTACAAAACCTCCAACTTTCTCATGAAAGGAAAAGTGTTCAGTATATTTTTGTCCTAGAAGCATAAGAAACAATGTGGCTTGGGGCACCCAAGTGGCTCAGTCGGGTGATTCCAGTGTTGTGGGATCAAGTTCCGAGCACTGCATCAGGCTTTGTGCTGAGAATGGAGCTTGCTTAAGATTCTCTCTCTCTGCCCCTCTTCCCTGCTCACACGCTCTCTAAAAAACCAAAACAAAAAAAACAACAACAAAAAATCCAACCAACCAAACAAACCCAAACATACAATGTGGCTCTATTACAAAAGGAGATATTATAAAATAAAGCCCAAGGAAGTAAGCACAGGAAGAGGATAAGTGCAATGGTTTATACAGGAAATCGAAGGAAGAGCTCAACAGGGGGCAGATGCATTCAGAGACCATGATGCAGTAGTCTCTTTTATAAATAGAATGAGGAGACTTCGGTTAAGCATGACCCTAAAATTTCTCCATAAAAGGAGACTTGTGTCTGTGTTTTCTAGACTTTGCTATTATTTGAAAACCAATTTCACATATAAATTAGTAGAACCAACATTTATTAAGTACCCAGCTCTGTGTTCAGGCACTGGGGAATCAAAAACAAGTCCCCCAGGAATGCATTTAGTGGGAAAACAGACAAAAAAGGCAATATTCTGGTTTAAGAAAAAAGTATTTGGAATATTCTAATATGTTTTACAAGAAAAACCATCTAACCTCCAAATTTCTAAAATTTACTAAACATTTGTACTCACTGTCTCTCAACACATTTTTCCATTCGTTCAGTTTTTTCAAAGGAAAAAAGTGGAGGGGAAAAAATTACAAAGTAAAGAGCACACAAATATTAGAGGTTCCTCTAAAATTATAATCATCTTTGTCAGATAAACAGGTGTACTATAGCCTGGGGGCTATATGTGAAGTGTGGTTCCTGAGTCCCCAAAATCAGAAGCAAATAAGGAACCTGATATGGAATTCCAGTGCCTCTGAGCACAGAGTCTGTCTTAACTGTTTTTTTTTTTTTTTTAATGTTTATTTATTTTTGAGGGACAGAGAGAGCATGAGCAGAGAAGGGGCAGAGAGAGAGGGAGACACAGAATCCGAAGCAGGGTCCAGGCTCCGAGCTGTCAGCACAGAGCCCAACGCAGGGCTCGAACTCACCAACTGCGAGATCATGACCTGAGCTGAAGTTGGCCACTTAACCAACTGAGCCACCCAGGCGCCCCTGTCTTAACTGGATTCAGACTCTCTGGGTATGGGACTGGAAATCTGCATTTAACAGCAATTGGTGTGCACTGACTAGTTTAAGACTCCAATCCTAAGGATTGGACTCTAAGAAATTTTAAGTAAAAAAACCTGTCTTTTAAAAATAAAAAACTGAAATTTATACCATGTTATATTGGCAGGTAAATCAAAATATTTAGTGTTAGGATATATCTATTAACTTATACTTTATCAGGATGAAACTTGCTTGAAGCTTTCCTAACAAGCATATGACACTTAGGGCCTGGGCCTCCTCTGATGAAGTTTCTCCAAAAATGAAAACTTGTAGGACTGAAAGTTAGGGCTGGTTTCATTAGCATCAGATATAGTCCCTATTCCTATCTAAACTTGTCACCGTTATGATTTAATGAAATCCCAATTTCCTAAAATTATTATGCATTGTTTTTTGAAATCCAAACCAGTCAGCACCTGCTTTGCTTTCTCAACATATTATTGTCCAAGGCAGGTTTAAACTAATGGCTTGTTGAATTTAGCTCTCAGCTAAGTACAGCTAAAGTATAGATAAAGGCAAAACAAGCAGGGAAAATAAAAATAAATAGGCCAACTTTTGCTTCCTTACTGCTTAGCATGAAGAGAAAGTTATCAACATCCACATTAAGTATTCAGCAACCCACAACACAAGTTTGTGGCTATAGCTACAATGTACACATTGGCAATTTAAATTACATAAAGTTGAAAATTCGGTTCTTTAGTCACATTAGCCACATTTCCAGTGCAACAGTAATATAGGGTTAGTAGCTACTATACTGGTTGGCAAAAATGCAGAACATTTCCATCCCTGCAGAAGACTGTATTGGATGGTGCTGATCCAGAGCACTAGTAAGCGTACAAAACTATTGAGAGATCAATAACCTATCAAACCTTATAAAGACATCTCACCCATTCCATTTTTCTCAGGGTTGGCTAGATATAAAGGAATATGCTAGCAGCTTAGTGGTACAAGACTCCACAAGAACCTATGCCCTCAAGAAGCTGAGAATAGTTAAGAGAATTTAAACAAGCAATGACAACAACCTGAGAAAGGCTGGTTCAACCTGCTATGAGATCAGGAGAAAGCACTGCTAACCTTTCTTTAGAAGTGTTTGGCTTATAGGATGATAGATCACAGAAGTCAAGATCGTTGGGGAAAGGGTATTTGAAAAGTAAGGAGCACTGAGGGTACCACTCCAGAAAGAATCAGCCTACAAAGAGGTATGACAATGTCACTAAGATTTGGGTAAACAATCAATCCAGAATGACTCGAGGTTTATGTAGAAAACAGTAGCAAACGAAAAAGCCGTTGAGAAAAGGTGAGGTTAGCCCATTGAGGGACCTTGTATATCATGTTCATGTTGATGAAGTCATCCTGTAAGTAGTTAGGAGCCAGGAAAGGAGTTGCATCAGTCATTTTCGGCTCTATCTGTATGTTAGGACAATTGTCCCAACAACACATAAAATGGATCAGAACATGTTACGGGGACTGAGACACCAGTTTGGAGGCTATCAGCATTATGGCAATCAAGCCCAGTTAGTAACTAATGAGGAAACAAAGACATTAAAAGACCTCCAAATGAGGTAACAGGGAGATCTTGCTGAACCTCATACCCAATTCTCAGTAAGGCAGTAGTCAAGGTCATATGGACTGTGAAAAGGATCAAGGAGTAGAATCCTAGTTGAGGAAAAAGATAAAATGTAAAACAAGGTAAACATTCAAGAAAATCCATAAAGGAGGAATAAATGCTTTGCTGGGTAAGACCTCTGCTCAAACCTAGTAGCCTTAATTGGTGGTAGAACCAATCTGTCTGGTTTCACAGCTCACCAGGCTGCCAAAGACAGGACAGGGGAAAACCAATGCTATGTCTGGGGGCTGAAAGAGCCAGAATAACAAATACGAAATAAGCTCAAAATATGAGTAAGAACTGCTAAGATCCTTAACCCTAGGGATGCAAGGGAAGGGGCCTAAGATTTTAAGATTAATATTTAATCTGAAATGCTATATTTTGGTGGTGTAAGCAAGGCCCTCAAATGGGGTAAAAACCTCCGATAGTCATGGCTTTAATCTATCTCCTTTTATCTACAGGAAAAATACTTACAAAAAGGATCTTGAAGTTGTAATAACACGCAGTTTTGCTGCTTAAAATCAGCCCAAGGTGAACGCCTGGACTCCCATTTCCCTCCTCCACCCCTGTTATAATTACTTTGTGACACAAACTCAAGTCTGTGGGAAGAGATAAATCTTACACCTGCTCAATCCCCTGCAGGACAACGCCCAGGCACCAGGTTAAGCCTGGGCAAGAGTCCCGCCCACAATCGAGAAGCAGCGACTCGACATGGAGGCGATGACGAGATCGCGGGGGAGGGAGGGATTCTTCTAGGCCCAGGGCGGTCCTTAGGAGACAGGAGGCAGCAAAGAACTCCCATAAAGGTATTGCGGCACTCCCCTCCCCCTACCGAGAAGGGTGCGGCCTTCACTCCGCCTCCTCCACTGCAGATCCCTCAGGATTGCAGCTCGTGCCGATTTTTGGAGAACACGCACCTCCCTCGCATAAACCAGCAAGACTGATCCCCGCTCCTTCCCCCACCCCCCGCGAGTCCGAGAGCAGATCCGGCTTGTCTCGTCCTTAAGGCGGCGGGCGCCCGGGGCGGAGCCGCGGTCGCCGCCACCCATAAGCCTCAACCAGCAGCCCGCCTCCGCCTCCAGCGCGCGCTTCCTGCCACGTTGCGCAGGGGCGCGGGGCCAGACACTGCGGCGCTGGGCCTCGGGAAGGACCGTACCAACGACCGCCTCCCCGCCACCCCTGCTGAACCGCTCAATGGTTCCGCTCATTTGGGACCCGAGCCAATGGCAAGGGGCCGTTCCCCGGGCTTCAGCAACCAATCAGGTGCCGAAGCCGAGAAGGCGGCGGGTAAACCGACTCCTTCCAAGGAAGGGGCGGGTGGCCAGACGCCCGCGCGGGAGGCACTTTCACTGACATACCCCCGCCCCCCGCGGGAGGTCGACCGCGCCCGCTCCTCCAGCTCTCTCCCCACCCCAGCTACCTACCCATCCCACCCAGGGAGCAATGCGAGAGTCCCCCGGCGGCTGCGCACTCTCGAGGCTGTAACTGACAGGCGCTTTACTCCAACCAAAACACGCCATTTGTGTTTTCACACACGGCGGGAGCACAAGCGGCCAATCAGTGACAAGAGGTGAGCCGGAAGCGCTCCTCCCTCTGCAGGAGCAATGGCTCCATCCGGATTCGAGCCTTTTCCGCTCTTCTCCCTCCCCCTCCGGTTGCCGCAGGGCGGGCCGCACTCCTGCCTGCCTCTGACCACCTCTTTCCCTTCCAGTTTAGCGAACCTTATAGTCCCCCCTTCCCGCGGGGGAAGGCAACCCCCATCTCTCGGTCAGACCGCCTCAGCCACCCATCTCCCCCCAATCCACCGGACCCCCCCCCTCCACCAGAGTCCCGCTCCCCTACCTAGCCGAGGCTCTCTGAGGAGCCGGAGCCCCAGAGCACAGCCTCTTCTCTAGGCGGCCCCGGCGGCTTCCGCTGATTGGCGGCGAGCTAGCCAATGGGTGCGGGGCGGTGGGCGGAGAGGCCAATGGCGCGGCGGGAGGGGGCGTGTCCCGGGTGCCCCTGGCGCCGGCGCTGGGAATCCCCGTGCGGTCAGTGGCGTTTCCGCTCGGGCAGCGGGCTGAGTGAGCTGCCGCCGCCGCCGCCGCCGCCGCCGGGGGAGGGGCGGCCGCCGCCCGCCTGCGCTGAGAGACTCACGCAGCCCCAGTCCCGCCAGTCCGCCAACACTGTAGTGCCGGCCCCCCCCTCCTTCCCTGGCCCTTCCCCCTCCCCGCCTTTGGCTCGCTCCGCCTTTCTGCCCCCCACCCCCACTTCACGGGCACGGGCCATTCCCGTCCAGGAAACGCCGTGGCGCCGCGTTGGGCCTAACTCGAGTCCTGCTGCCTCCCGGGAGTGCTGTGCGCCGCAGCCCGGGCCCAGGCCCCGGCAGCGCCTGGGACAAGGTAAGGGTCCGACAGAAAAGAGAGACCTACCCTCACGACCGGGCCCTGGGGGAGGGAAGGGTCACCTCCTCCGTCTCCCCGCGCTCGCTCTCGGGACGTGGGCCTGGCCCTTCCCAGGCTCTTAGTAGGAGGATGCTGCCCCTTCTCATCCCCCTCGCCGCCCCACACACACCGTTGCACCCTTCTTTCTCAGAGAGAGGCCCCCTCCGTAATCGAGTCGACCCCACTACCCTTTTCATGCCTTTCCTGGGTCAGGACGCTTCCCCTCCCCCACGCCTCTTCACCCCTTTTCCTGGGAACTGCCTACTCCACGTTTACCTTTTACTTGAGGATAGGCCTCTCCCTGCCCTCTTCTAAAAATGCACAGGCATACTTTTTTTTTCTCTCTCTCCTAACCCCCGCCCCCACCCCCTTTCGCGCGGCCTTGTGACAACTCTGATCTCTGGGGGAGGGGGGGGCCTTAATCCCCCCCTCCGTGATGTTCCTGGACGCCTTCACTGTCGTTCTCGGGTCCCCATCTCAGATGATGGCTTCTTTTCCCACACTGAAGACGTTACCCTCGCGCCACCCCCACTTCACATTCTTGGGCTCTCAGTGGCGTATGCCCCAGTATCTGAGATAGCCTCATTGAATTTGTAGGGTTCAGGCTTGGAGTTGAGCCAGATTGTGTCGTTTTTCCTGCCTTGGGCGTGGAGAGCGATCATTTGAGAACGTCTTGAAAAGCAGAAAAATGTCCCCTTTATGAATTCCCTTTACCTCTGCGTGGAAGCCAGGGATGTGAGGTGAATGGGGGGTGAGGAAAAAGCCCTGGTTTTTTAAGTAGGTGAATCGCGTGAGAGGGAAAGTTGAACTGTTGGGAAAGCCCCTTCTATGCTAATTTATTCTATAAGGCGCCTTTGCCCGTCTCACTTGTTAGGAATAACTGGTCTTTCCCTTGGATACTGATGCTGCAGCCAGCTCTGCTGGTCTGGGTCAGGGGTGCGTGTATGACCTGCATTTTCTGCTTTCTCATGTTACTTGTGCAATGTGTTCACCAGTAACTCATTTCTTACCCAGAGCTCAGGGTTCCATTGGGCTTTGTCTGTACTTTAGTTCATTTCTCCAGTTTCCCCCGTGGTCATGGTGCTGAAAGAATCCCCAGGTTCTCTGCTAATTTCCTTTATAACTTGACTAGGCAAGTTGCTCTTAAATGACATATTTGTGATCAAGGTCATATTTACATTCTTTTGTTGGGCAGATATTGCACGGCTATACTTTTGATTGGGGAGGATCCACCTGAGTTGAGTGTTGCGAGATTTTCAGGAGAATGTTTGTGTGTCTCCAAATTGGGGGAAATTTCTTGATGGTTAATTTTATGTCATTGATGTTTTTAGGTCACTCTGAGGGAAAAGTTGTAAGTGGTAATTTTAGATGTGTGGAATCTGAGCTAGGACTAAAGCAAGAATATTCACGTAATCAGAGGTTTCTGGGCCTCTTGGAGGACACAGAAAAAATTTTTTATATTGGATCTCTTCCAGTTTTCTCTAGAGGATCATTAGTTTTCCTCTCTAGCCCCAAATTCTGTTCCCATACTCCGTTATGGGAGTAGAGTCTTTAAGGGTTACTCACTCTGTCATTATGTATAGAAAAATGAATTATGTCCTTTGATAGGACAAGACACAAGGCTCTGTCTCTAGCTGCAAATTTGAATCTGACTATAGTGTTTAGAAAATTGGCCTTTTAAAGGTGAAAAGTTAATCTTGATTCCTAGATTGCTGGCTTAATTTAAAAATACATAATTAGAATTTATTTGGTAAATTTTGATTTTTTTTTTTTAATAAAAAGGTCTTAGTTTAAAGGGGTGACCTTAGGACTGTTTGTTTCTAAAAGCATAATTGCAGCCCTCTGGGATGGAGCACTGGTCCAAAAAAAAAAGAGAGAGAGAGAAAAGAGTGTGTAAGGAGTGGGGGTGGGGTAAGGATAAGGTTGTTCCTTTGGGTTGGATCACAGGGGTGAGTATACCAGGCAGCAGCAGCTGCTGGTTCTGGAGCCCTGGTTGCTACGTGAGAAGCTTGAGTAGTGCTGGCTGCTGTCTCCAGGGAAGGACAGCAGTGCAGCGTCCATTAATGCTGTTGGCTGCAGGGAGCTGCACTTAGGCGATGGCTGCTTCAGGACTAAGAAGAAACCTTGTTTTCCTGGGAATTTTCGCTGCTGAGCTCGTTTGCATTTTATTGGTGGGGAGATGAGAGTTAGCAATTCTAACCTTCTACCCATTTATGGATATCAGCATCTGGAAACTGGATTATAGTTAAAGATCCTTCTTGTTTTTGTTTTTTCTGGGTTTTTTGTTTTTTGGTTTTGTTGTTGTTGCTGCAGATTTTTGGTTTTTATCTGGGGATTTGTGCTTGGATAGGCCTGAAAGTTCCATTAGAGTTTTAATTTTTGAATCCTTCTATTACCACAGTAATAAAAATTTAAGGGTCTTTCTGAGAACCAGAATGGGAAAAATCAGTTCTTTTTTCTGCAACTGACATGTTTCCTCCATCTCTTTAATTACTGAATTAATTTTGATTTTATTGTTTGTGTGTTTCCTTCCTGCCCTCAAGTTGTTAGGCCACATTGACCTTACTGAATACATGTTTTGCTATACATATTACTACATTTGGAATTGTAAACCCTAAGAAGAACTACTCTTTTTGGAATGATTTCTAAATATAAATTTCAGAAGTGTTTTCTTAATTTCTATATTAGTATAGACTTCTCCAGATTAGATTATTTCTTTGGTGTTTGACCTAAAATATTGATTCATTATATATATGTTGGATATAGTCTTCTAAGATCACAAGGATGTTTGTTTGGCCATGATCCATCTGAAATAAAGGACGTACCAGAAGGAATATTTAGAAATAATAAGTCTAGAGTACAGGATACTTGAGAAGATAACCTCTGAGCCCCTTAGGTGGTCTCCCCTTCCCCCACAGCTCCTGCACATTAGGAAGGTCTCTGATTAGGCAGAACAGTTTGTTTGAGTATGGAAGTACTCGAAGGAGAACCAACACTCAAATATGCCACCACTTACAGAGTATTTAACAGATGCCCATGTGTTTTCTTCCCCCCACACACCCAAGACTCTTGCATCCTATATTTTTTTCCCTTAGAATTTGATATTTTCAGTCTCATGTTCAGGTACTTAAATCCCACAGTCATCTATAATGTGTAATATGACTCTGGCATTTTGTCGTTCACAAATGTGGCTTGCATTGTCTCTCAATGATACAAACAGACTAATGAAATGGAACCTTAATGAATAATATTTTAGGTGGTTCTATTTTTATTAGTATTACATATAAAAGATGCCGTATCAAATAAAAAATGGTTTCACTCATACTGGCTGTTTAACATAGCTTAGGTATAAATATAAATATCTTTTAGTTTATTACATAGTATGAAAGTTACCTTGTAAAATAATTGCTTTTTCACTTGTATATCTTATTTGGAACGCACTGCAAACTTGATGTAATCATTTTCTGAAAAATCAGAGAAGCCCTTTTCATAGGGTTTATTTAACCAGTATGCTTGAAAATTTTTGTATCTTACACTGTGTTGTGTCTGAGAACTTAACATACTTTCTGAACTTATTCTGACCTTTCTGGGGGAGAGTTGCCATTTTGTTTTTTTATTTTGGATGGGAAAATAATATAGTGCAAAATGGAGATATGCAGACATCCACTTTTACCTTCTTTGTGTTGAAATAACTTAAGAAACCTGAGACTGTAGTTAACAAGTCATAATTATTGGATACATCTTGTTATTGAAAATTGGAATATGATCTAGAATAAAATTTTCTTCTAACTTCTGGTTCAGCTCTGGTGATTTGTCAGTTTAATTTGAAACTAAAAGGCCTAGTAGTAAATTTGATTTATAAATTTTGTTTCAGGTATGGGAAACTAAAAGTTCTTGATAGGGATATATTCTTTACGACAAAACTTACTCTAAGCTCTGTAAAATGTGTGAGATAATGTATATTTACTAATACAGCTGGTGGTTATTTGTAATTTGGTTAAAAGCATCTTTTCAGAGGCACTCCTTAGAAAGTAAGTATAACGCATCAGTGATAGACAAGGATTGTTGTCATTCCTTACTGCCAAAAATTCCAAAATAGGTAGTGAAATGGCATTTTTAACCTTTCACTTGCTGCACTGATTGATTTCTCTTCTAGTAAAGATTCAGAGAAATTGATGAAAGGTGGAATACCATTTCTTTCATTTATCAATACAAATTTTGCTAAATTGTTTAGAGTCTTATGAAAAGTGTCCTATTGTATATTCAATTCTGAATTGATACCCAGGAATGGTATGTGTTGGGGGGGGGCAGTGTTAGAAAGCATCACTTTAGAAAAAGTGCTTAACACTTTATAAAGGAAACCGTGAGAGATAATAAAACAATGACGCTAAATCTCAACCTACTGTATAGGAGCCTTCACTGAACAAGGAATTTGTAATACTATCCTGTCTCACTTTTTCCATCATATTGATTTTGTTTGTTGAATACCTCAGGGAAGGATGTAACGGTCACATTAAGTATCTTTAATATAAAGACAGGAAAAAGGAATTTACTGCTTGTTGGAATAATATCTTTGTATTTTAAAGCACTAAGATTATTGGCGAGTTTTGCCATATGTATATGAGTGTTGGTTTGGTTTGACTGCTTTCTCTTCTCAGCTTTTCTGTCTTCCTTGTAGTCTGAGAATTCTCGGAGTTTTGATGGCAAATTGAAGTAGTAAGAATCATTTTCTTGCCTCTGTTAGTTATCTACACCCAGAGCTGGGGATACACCTGGGTCTATGTTATGAATGATAAAATAAGCATTGAATATGGGGATTTGTAAGATGTGTTTCTATGTGGGGGTTCAAGTTTTTGATGTGCTACCTAATTGAGGGAAAATGCCGAATTCCTTCCTGCTCTGTTTGAAAAATAGATGGAAGCATGGGAGGAGCCTCAGACTTCTGCAGCAGGATTTGG